TGTGGCTCAAGCGGTAGCGCGCTTGCCTGGCATGCGTGCGGCCCGGGTTTGATCCTCAGCACCACATACAAAGATGTTGTGTCCACCGATAAAATAAAAAAATAAATAAATATTACAATTTAAAAAAAAAAAAAGGCGGGGGGGAATGTGGCTTATTGATTAAGCACCACTGGGTTCAATCCCTGGTACTAAAACAAAAAACCCAGGGCACTGCCAGGCATAATGGCCATGTATGTGATCTCAGCAGTAATCTCAGGAGGCTGAAGCAGAGGATGGCACGTTTGAGGTCAGCCTGGCCTACTTAGCAGACCCTGTCTCAAAATAAAAACTAAAAAAAGGATTGGGGATGTAGTTCATTGGTAGAGCACCCTGAGTTCACCCCAGTAATTCAAAACAACAAAAGAAGGAGTATATGGACCAACTTAACATTATATAGCTATGGTGTCACTTATAAAAACCTATTTTAATTACCATTCTTTTCACGAGTCTTAAGTAGCAGATCCAGCCTCTTTTGTCTCCCTGAAATGAAGTGCCCTGAGATTATCTGCTCCTAACATACTTTATTTGGTAGAAAACTTGGCCTTCTTCATCTGGTCCTCCAAGAACCAGAGAGACGTTAAAAGCAGCCAGATTACTCGTCAGTGCCCATGCATGTACCCACCTGAAAGGGAGGCAGTTAGAGCCCTGCAGTGGGAGTGCAAGGCACTCTGGTGCTATCTCCCTACCTAGGTGCCTTTGTTCACATTATGCCAGGGCCTCTGCCTCACCATGTCCATGTGGGTTTCACATCTGTCTGCATGTCTGCTTTCCATGGCCACTGCCTCAAACGGACCTAGCACTGGGAGCTGCCAGTGGGCAGCAAAGAGAGAAAGGGGCCCACTTCACCCAAACATGTCCCTGCGAGAGGGGGTTAAAGCAACATGCCTGTCACCAATCACACCTGCCTGCAGCTGCCCCCTGGGTTCTCTAAGGGCAACCCGAGGGATACAGTTCTTTGTCTTTCCTTAGAAGATCATTGTACATCTGGTCATATGTAGTTTTGAAATCATAGACATTGGGCTTGTCAGGTGCTGGTCCTGGGAGCTTCACGTGAGTTCCTGTTCCGAAGGACCGGACGCTGAATCCCCGCTTGCTGGAAGACACAAAGCAGAAAGGGAATCAGTTGGATTCAGACACAACATTCTAAAACTGAGTAGGTATCAAATGGAAATGAACAGACTAAGCAGCTTCATTTGTGGACATTAGAGAATTAAGTTTCTAAAATATTAACGTTATTTAAAATTGATTCAGGTATGTGGAAACACACACCTATAATTCTAGCAATTCAGGAGGCTGAGGCAGGAGGAACTCAAGTTGGAGGCAAGCCTCTGCAATTTAGCAAGACCTGGTCACAAAATAAAAAAGAACGGGGAATATAGTTCATTGCTACAGAACAGAATCTGCCATTACAGGGCTACAAGCAATCACTATAGCTTTGAAAGCTGTTACTCTAAACTCAAAAGACTAATTGTGCATTGGAACCCTTGAGCCATCTGCCCAATGCCATGACCTCTTGCAGGATTCACTTCTCAGAATCTGTAAGACACCTGGACAGACTTGACTGCTTGCTGTGAGCACCCCTTCCCAAACTGATCTGCTCTTAGGAGACTGTCCCTGCAAAGTCCCAGTGCCCTTGATGCTGGCTGATCCACCAGACCTAAACAACCATGAGAGTCCTCTGCAACAAAGAAAGTCTCAAATAACCTAGCAATCATAGGTATGGAGGTACACACCTTAACACTAGCTACCCAGGAGGTTATGCTGGGTGTGGTGACGCAAGTCTGTAAGCTTGGAAGGCTGAGGCAGGGAATCTAGAATTCAAAGCCAGCCTCAGCAAAAGCGAGGTATTAAGCAACTCAGTGAGATCCTGTCACTAAATACAATACAAAATAGGGCTGGGAATTGCTCAAGTGACTGAGTGCCAAAGTTCAATCCCTAGTACTCAAAAAATAAAATTAAACGTAAAACACAGGGGCTGGGTTGGGGGCTCAGAGGTAGAGTATTCACCTATCATGTGTGAGGCCCTGAATTTGATCCTGAGCTCCACATAGAATAAATAAAATGAAGGTATGTGTCCAACAACTAAAAACTACTAAAAAAAAAAAAAAAAAAAAAACCACAGAAAGGGCTGGGAATGTGGTAGCTCAATGGTAGAGCAGCCCTGGTTTCAATCCTCACTACTGGGGGGAGAAAACAAACAACACTAAAGCAAATCTTCCAAAGTTCAGTCCCCCAGTCAAAAGTAAGCCTTCATCAGCAACAGCAAGGCACTAAGCAACTCAGTGAGACCCTGTCTCTAAATAAAACACATTATAGGGCTGGGGGTGTGGCTCAGTTGTTGAGTGTCCCCGAGTTCAATACCCAGTACCAAAAAATAAAAGATAGAAAGCAGCAAGGTCAACTGTTGCTGTGGCTGGGAGTGTGACCTGGCCCAACAGGCCTATGACAATAGCACACCTGAACACACACATTCCTGATGGGGCAAGCAAATACCTTTCTCCCGAAGTTTGAAAGTATTTCCTCACAAACTCCAAGTTCCAAAAAGTATTTTCCATCAAAGAACAAGCACATTGCCCAGGCCATCCTGACCAGCCAAAGATAGGACCCCTTGTAAAGGTAAAATTTCTAAACTGATTCTAAGCTGCAAGTGTCTGAATTAAAGTGTAAAAGACTGGGCATTGTAAAGTTTCTAAATTGAAAGGCTTGGGCTAAAAATAATAATAATAGGCCAGGTATTGTTAAAATTCCTCTGCTACCCCCGGAACCTGTAATCTCTGTAGTTGTTAGAACAATACCTGAACTGCCCAGTAAATATTTCCATTGATTCCCTGGTTGTTTATTAGCTAAGGGCTCCAAGTAGCTTGGCACGTAAGCATCCAGGCCACAAAACCAATCAGTTTAAATATGTACCCCGCTTAGGAGTGACCAATCACCCCTGCCCAGATTGTTCCCGCCAATGAATGTACTAATCCTGTCTCAGAGGAGTTGTTCAATTTTCCCACGCCTCATGATGATTTGTTCCGATGTATGCAAAACACCCCGCCCTCCCCCAAAAGTGTACTTTTAAGCTCTGCTTGACCTCTGCTCTGGGCTCTGGGCTGCTCTCCCTTCCTGAGTGAGCCTTGAGCCCCAGCATGCTGGTTCAATAAATCCCCTTTTGCCAATTGCATGAAGTTGATCTCTTGTGTGGTCTCTCCCTCCGACGCTCTGCCGGACCCTTACACCCTCACCTAGTCCTCATGGCACCAGCCACCTGCTTGGCACTAGGGGATGGTAGGCAGAGCCCTCTGGGACTCTGGCTCATCAATTCTGATATACATACTGCTCATTCTTTTTAAATGAGAGCTCCATCCCAACTTCAGGGCTGACAAAATGTGAAAAATGTGAATTGAGGACATGAGGTGACTATTACTAAAACCAACCCGGGGTCTATAGGTACATGCCTCCTGGGGTTAAAGCCTGTCACCCTCTGGATCTCCTGAGCTGAGCATGTATTAAGAACTTGGACAGGGCTGTGATTCATGGACACAGGCATCCAGGAGCACCCCTTTGGACAATGGTAACCAGACCCCACCTTTGCCTCTGCTGAGGCAGTTCAACATTGAGGGTGCTGGGGCCTAGAGCAACACTTTCCTCCCTGCTTCAGCCCTTTGTCTGGGACCATTCGCTCATCTAAACCAACAGGACCAGGTTATTGCCTAAGACGGGCTTTGTGCTGGGATAGGGCTTTAGGAGGCAGGCACCTGTCTCCAAGTCAATGGGGAAAGGATTGACATTGTAAAATAAGCATGTTTACTATGAACACATGAACCCATAAAAACAAGATTACCCTAAAATGACTGGAACCAAGGCCTGGCAGAGCCAGGACTTGAGCTCAAGGTCCTGCCTTAGGAAACACAGGGAGCAGGACACACTGTGTAGCCTAGAACACAGAGGCTGCACTGAACCCAGAGCCTAAGTTACCTAGGATAGAACTTCTGACCACAAGCTGCATACAAGGGGACTCTGTATATGGGTCTGGAGCAACTCCTGTGGCTATGCCTCAAAGGGTAGCACTTTTTTTTTGGGGGGGGGAGTTAACCAGGGATTGAACCCAGGGTCACTCGGCCACTGAGCCACATCCCAGCTCTAATCTTGTATTTTATTTAGACACAGGGTCGGAGTTGCTTAG